ATTATTAGATTGTAAAAATTTGAAAGATCGCTTAAAAGGTTAACGCGCGAAGATACCATACCTGCAATTTTGAGCAAATCAATTTAATCTTTGCTTGCGACGAGAAACTGAGCATAAAGTGGCTTTGGGCACCAGATGTAAATGATTAGGATATGATAGGCTAAACAAAAACAATCTTATGAGTTCCACAATTATTTCTTCAAAAGAAGAAGAAAAAGAAGAAATAACTTCTCATAACTATTGGCCGAAAACAATTCTTATGCCATCAAAAATCGCTTCAAAAATTATTAAGAAGAAGATGCCAAAAAAAAGAAGGATACTTTTCACGCCAGTATCGCGTCTCTTAATTCCATATGACGGGACGGGATACATTCCTCTGCAATGAAAATATCTTACAAAGAACTTTTCAAGACTGTTTGCTTACTTACTTAAGTTGTTTCTTGGATCTGATAAATATTTCATTGACGGGGTGTATTTGTTAATGCACTGAGGTCAACATATATTTGTGGGCAATATTTGTGTACAGATTTGATCATTTTCAGATTCATATATGCTGGCTGTAGAGATTGCAAATTATTTTTCCTATTTTTCAGCTTTTTCTCAAACTTGATATAAGGCAATCAATCATTCGAAAGAAAAAACTTCAGTTCCTTATCAAAAGGGAAAGAAACGAATATCCTTGGCCACTTGTGGTGCAAGGTATATGAAGCTTGTGCTGATATATGTCCCACCTTTCATTTAAATTAGTCGATTCAGGTTCACGCTGTCCATCTTGTTTCCTGTGCTCGTTCTACAAATCACAATTTTTCATTACGTCGGCTTGTTTTGGCTCAAGGGCGAATCCCAAAATAATTCCAGTGTATTTCCTCATTTTAAAAAATCATTAGCTGCATTAAATGCGGTGGCATAGGATAATTAAAGATGGTCCGTGTCCCGCTGTGTCACTTGCTTTTTGAACTTAATCTGAGGATAGAATAATAAAAGGAAAATTGAAGTCAAGTAAGTTTGTGATCGCATTGAGTATTTATGATTTCAACGGAAGCAGACACGCACACATGGCTAAATCTAGTTCACGATTATCACGAACAATAATCGAATTCATTTATATGTTTTTTTTTTGTTTTTATATTATTCTTGTTATAAATTTAGCCAGAGAATCAAATTCTACGGCTGAATTCTTAAAGCACTAGCATCTAAGGCTTTCGGCTTTATTAAAAACTCTACCGACAATTGAGTTGCTAGTCGAGACTCTTGCCTACTCGGCCACTCAGGCGGATTGTTTTTATAATAAATTACAAGCGTACGACAAATCTAACCCATTGCGTTGGATATAATAAAAGAATAATCGTCGTCTATCGTTACTTATTACACGGCCCCCGTAAATTATAACTTCTTAAGCTCACAACTTATCTCTATCTCACCCACTGCTCTCTCCCGCTCTCTCTAAATCGAAAACAATTTCTAATATAAACATCAAAAAAAAAAAAAAAAAAAATTCTTTACTGGCAAAAATTATGGACTTGTATGCACATAATAAATATACTTCGATGCATATAGTCACACACACACACACACACACACACACACACAAGCACATACACACGAAACGATTACTGATTCTCTAGCTAGATGTGGACAGAATATTTATTTCTAACGATATCAGTTAAGTCAGTTCTTGTTTCGTCGCCGCCGCGTTTAGTGTATACAGTTATTTTTCTTAATTGCTTTAACAGATATGAATGCATCTTCGAAATTACAAAATCGTCCAACCAATTCAACGGATAATTTAAGGTACCCTAACGCGGATCTCCACTCGCATAGAATAGAAATTCCTTCTATCACGTATCAAGGATTGAAAACATGTATGTCTTGAAATTTTTCTTATTTAGTTAAAAAACGCTCTATTTGAACGTTATGTTATTAAGAAAGCATTTAATTTCTCAAGAAAACTCAAACTCACTGATGTAAAATTTACAATTTTCACATCATTTGAATTTTTCTTTTTCTTTTGTTTTTAGAAATTCGTCCACCGATTTTTGCTTTTCTTTTTTTTTTACTGCGTTTTCACACTCCATAGGGCAATAGAGACAGAGAAGAGTATTCTAAAGATTTTATTAAACATGAACTAAACTGAAAACAGATCGTATACAAATAATAATAAAATTCTTACAATAAGGCATCAGCATCAGTGATGCTAGAAAATCGTCAGTAATAAAAAATGAAAGCAAATGCAAAAAAATAAAAAAAGCTCCGAAACATAAAGTAAAAACCGAACCTAACCTCTTGGTTGTTAGCCAAAATCAAAATTTTCATTAGAACATAAATGCTTCGCACACTTCCCTCCTTTTCAAGTCACATTTATTGATTCGTGCCTTCAGGAACTTTTTGCAACCTTTTACATAAGTATTTTCATCTGTTTCATAGTGTTTCTAGTATTATATATTAAGGTAAACGTTTGCACGGATTCTGATAGAAATTTACAAACATCACGTATGTCGTATCAGATTATTTTTATACCCTACAGCAACTGTGTTATATTAAGCTTGTATGGATAGATGGACAGACAACTTTTATTACGCTAATCGATTCAGCAACACTTTCCGAATCAATCTAAGCTTGTCTACCAGCCCGTCTACCTGCCCGTCTGATTTTCTTGTCTTCAACCTATACGTCACAGATTTTAAAGTATTATAATGAAATTTAAACACATTCTCGAACTCTCCTTTTATAACACCTTGAAAAGTCATTATATGAAAAAAGTTTTAATTTTCAAAATTTCTTCACAAAAGACGCTGAGTAATAGTTGTTCGATATTCTAAATTGCTATGAAAAATGTGGTTCAGTTGGTGTCATTTTTGAATCCCCTCCCATCTAATCGTTCCTACGAAAACTGAGTCTTTACATAGTAAAAAGATTCCATTCTCAATTTTTTTTAGCAAAAATTGCTTCACAATGGTGAATCACGCAATGGATCTGTTTCTTAGACCCCATTTCTTATAAGAGCTTCCATGAATGGTAGGCCCTTTAAGGAAAGGTTCAATTTTTCATATCTTATGATGAAAATTAATCCATAGTAGCTTTTCCGAAAAAA